ATATATATATATATATATATATATATATATATATATATATATATATATATATATATATATATATCCATTTGTGTGTGTGTGTGTGTGCGCGTGCACTAATTTCAGTGAGATGACATGTAGGGGTGAGCATGGTACGGTATGGTAAGGTATTTAGCTCGTACCGATACCGTACAAAGTATTTTGGTTCAGTATGGGATTTTACCACGTCCCGATCCCGACCCCGAAATATCGGTTCGGGATGGTTCGGTATCGGTTTCGGTACAAATCGGGATGAATATACATACCTACTTTACACGTTAAAATTTAACAATGTCCCGTTATTTTGTAAAATTAAAAAGTGAATTTAAATAAAAAAACATGAAAATTAAAAAAAATGAATATCTAAATGCAAGAGGTGCGTATCAAAACTTAGTTTATATTTCACAAACTAAAAAAATGAACGACAATAAAGGAGTATTTCAAATCACTGTGAATACTTTTGTGTTCATACACAAAAACTTACTCGTACCAACTTTTTTTAAAAAATTACCCGAAGTATTATTTAGTGAAGGAATATAAAAATATTACTCCGAAGTATTACTTTTTGTAATATTTTAGTATATATGTTCGGTTCGGGATTTTCGGTATGGGACTTCCCCTCGTACCGTTCCCAAATACCGTACCGACCATTCGGTTCGGTTCCTGTAAAAAATGATTTCAAAACGCTGCATAGACATTCCCTGTAACTTTTTTCGTTCATTTTTTCAGCGAAGAAGGGGATTGATGTCTAATTTTTAAATCACATGGCATCGAAGTCCATATCGTATTTTTCATTCATTTTTTATTTTTTTGAAATTGTTCTTTATAATTATTTTAAAAATCAATGTTGTTTCTTTTAGAAATAAAATATAAATGGAATGAAGAAATTAAAATATTCATTGTCTATATTTTTTTGTCTTATAAAACAAAAATAAAAACTTTCTGAAACATTTAAAAAGATAGCAAGGAATAGTGAAAGAAAATTTACAAAATAGAATAGAAAAAATATATGAAAAAAATACACTTATAGAAAAAGAAAATGTATATCTCTAGTGCGAAAATAAAGCTTTCTAATCTAAGAAATAAAAAGAGGATTTTTTTAAAAAAATTAATTTGTTGGCCGTCGGTCCGAAAAATATCCCTATTATTTTTTGTTTTGCTGAAAAATGTTATCCACAAAGTTCTGGACGTCCTCAAAATTAACCTTATCAGCGATTTTTTCATGTATATGTTTTACCTTTTCAAGAAGAGTATATTTTGCACTTTTTGTTTTTTAATTTCCTCTTTTCCATTTGTTTCTCTTTTTTATTTTCTTTTTATTTTGGAAAACAAAAATTGAAATTTTTTAACTTGAGATAACTAAAATATATGACAGTGTACTTTTATTTCAATTATTTCTCACAAAAAATTGAAATTTTAAAATATTATAAAGAATAATGTGTCAAAATAAATTTAAAAAAAATAGAAAATGGGATAATGGCCTTTATTACCCCACGTAGTTTGAAACATAGGCACCAATGCGGCAATGCCCCCTTCTTCTTTGGAAAAGTAAATGGAAAATAATCAGAGGCAGTGCCTGTTCAACATTTTGTGAAGTATTTTTTGTTACCAACAATTTAGTTAATTTTTATATTTTAGTTCATTATATATATTTTATATACACTTAGTCAAACGTTTGACATATAATATGAATCGGATAGTTGAAAAAAGATTGGAGGGAGAATGGATTAAGAGTGTCTTTCGTTCCCCAAATCTTATTGATCCGAGTCTAATTTTTTAGGTCTTGTCTATATTCTCTAATTGGGTCGATCTGCATATCCAACTAGATCTATTTATATTCTTATTCGACCCGATCCCATCTAATTTGATCTGATTGGATCTGATCTTATTAGATCTGAATAGATCTAACCTGATCATACTCAAACTAAAGTAAATTATTATAATAATTTAGTACTTCATATATCACACAAAGCCCTTGTTTTGATTTTTATGATATTTAAGATCCGTATATTTTTGTATTGTTTTTTTCCAAATAATGTTTGATGTGATGAATATTAGTTAATAAATATGATGTTATAGGTATAGTAAAAATTATTAGGGGAAATATTCTAGGGGGCACCTTTTGAATCGGTTGAACAACCGGTGCAAAAAGTAATTACACCAATTGCCTCGTTACCTTTTGCATCGCTTGACCACTTTCATTTTTACACACCATCCAATACACTTTTTAATTCATTTTATCTTGTAATTTGTATACAAAAAATTATAGAAATTATATATTAATAATCTATATGTTAAAACAAATCAAACAAGATCACACATTACTATATTTAGGCTTACACATTGAGAGAATTTGATGAGTCAAAAAACTTAGATGAACGGTTCCCATAGTCAAAAACGAACAAATATAGCAGGACGGAGGTAGTATAAGATTATTAATTAATTTATCAATCTATAATACTGTTGGGCTAAAGGAACCTGGGGTCTTAGGTAACTAGGCGAAAGAGTATCGAACTAGATCGAAGAGTGCACAAATATGGGGTCAAGTAGATCGAGAGTAATATCGTGCTAGTTAGAATATGATTCAGAACGTGAGTCTTTTTGATGGAATGAGCTCCATCCCCCCATCCCTCTTCCAAGAAGAGGGGTATATATAATGGGAGAGATAGGGCTAGGGTTTACATACAAAGACCAATGGGCCGGCCCAACAGGCTCGGCCGCCCTAAATAACTAATTGATAAACGACTAACAGGCCGATCGCACAAACTGGACCTCCCCGACTAATATTATACAAAGACCGGATACCCCCTGTCCAGGGTATCCATCATGAGTCCCCTACTTCTCGAGCCGAGAGGAACTCGAGGTGAAGCGGAAGTAGAACAATAATCCACCATAGGACACCGTCTTCCTTGGTTTCTACGGCACTGCCAACTCGCTGTCCTGAGCACGGTGAAGTAAGGCAAACAATGCCACAAGTCTGAAATGTAATGTCAACTTGCTGTCCGGAACGGCAAGGCATGAAGAACTCATCATCTGCATTCTGTTTGTCGTCTTCAGAAATCCTCCCACAATCCCGTCAATGTGTTATCCACCCCACGAGGGATGCCTCATTAAAAACTTGCCGAGGAAAATACCCATGAGGATGGGAAAAAATCCTCGGTCAAGAAAAGAGTACATCTCGTCCCACAGAGTGGATCAAGAAAACATTGCTAGGGGGTGAGGTCTTCTGTGTGAATCTCAAAAGAGGTGATCTTCAAGTCCCCCGGACTCGTTGTCCGGAGTCGAGGGCTCTCCAGATGTGAGATGTAACAATTACGAGCCGAGCACCCGAAGTCCCCCACTCCCTAAGCCGAAGAAGAATTCCGAGGTGAAGGGGAGTAGTGTCCATGCTCGGCTCCGGTGGGGTTCTTTGGCTCCCTCACGAGATGGCCGAGGCCGAGGCCGATCTTGAGTGCCTCACAAAGTGGTTGAGGCCGAGCTCGAGTGCTCCACGAGGTGGTCGAGGCCGAGCTCGAGTGGTTGAAGGCCGAGCTCGAGTGCTCCACAAGGTGGTCCAGTCCGAGCTTGATCTTCTCATCCTTCTAACCTGCAAAATAAGTTCAAAAAAGAACACAAGGCGCTCGCGGGCTCAGGTGGACTGATCACCACGCGGCCGAGAAGAGTAAGTCAACGTATGAGTTGGGTCCAATGTTTTGGACAAAAGATAGACCTTATCAGCGAAGAGTGCCGATCGTGTAGTAGTCTGGTCTAGAACAAATCTTGGCGTCATCCTTAGTGAGACGGGGGTCTTCAAATGAGAGCTGCTAGGGTAAGTGAGATAGGCACAAAGGATGCACCCCTCGCCTTAGATCCGAGAGCAAATATTTCACGTCATGGAAGACGGATATATAGGAGTGCGTCGAGATGGACGACTTACCTCGGCCTCGCGAATAATATCGTCGCGGACAATTTGGAGTGCCTCGCGGGGAGGGCTTACCTCGGCCTCGTGGAAGAGGAACTAAAATCACGTTGTGGGAGACGGATGGGAGTGCGTCGTGGTGGACGTCTTACCTCGGCCTCGTGGAAGAGGAAATGAGATCGCATCGTGGAAGACGGATGGGAGTGCGTCGCGATGGACGTCTTACCTCGGCCTCACGATAATATCGTCGCGGACGATCTTCAACACCTCGTAGAGAGGTTTTACCCGGCCTCGCTAAGGAATGACTAAATGAGTTGGATCTGAGCCATGCCTTGAGGCAGGTCGCTGGCCTGTGTGGGGTGCGAGATTAAGCTTTGCACCCGTCCCACATCAGGGCTTAAAGTGTTGAACACAAAGTGTAATACCATCGTCCAAGTGAGGTCCGATCACATGTGGTGGACAAGGTAATAGTAATAATAATAGTGAATATGATAACAATTACCATATTAATAATATGGTAAAAATAAATAAATAAATATGGAATAGTTGAAATGATGATGTAAATTACTTATCTTTTTTTGTTGCACTGCCCATAATTGAGATCCACTATGCGTATGTGGAGGTCATCATGCGTGTGGGGTCCAGCCAATACATCACCACAATCAATGGACCATATCTTTCTACGGTAAGAAAGTTTAGGCTCTTTTCCTTCTCTTCTTTCTATAGAGCCGACATATCGACAGGAGGAACCAGTTCGGCGCATCGAGCAAGACTGCACACTTGTCGGATTGACAATTGAATCACGCCGACGTTGATGTCTACAGGGTACGCCTGCACAGCGAGAAACATCACCGGAAGGATGGAGGTGGGTCATTGCCAGTCGGTCTGAACTGGTGTCAGAGTCGAGCTACTAGGTCGTCGGCTGCACCGGTTTGCTATTGCGGCAGTTGGCTGATCTGTCGTCAGAGACTTGCAGCCGCTGCACTCGCTAGAGTGAAGGTGTCGCTGGAATTTGAACGAAGCAGAGGAATGGCTGTTGTAAAACCCAAAGCCACCGACCCGTCGCTGGTGGAAGGAGCACCGTCTGGGTCAGGTCGTTATTTGACCCGTCCAAGTTTTTTAGATCTACAATCTATTTATCTCACCTATCGGTATTCTCTCGTTGTCGCGCTGTTTGCCCGAATCTGAGGTTGGAGTGTCGCCTGGAGCCTGACGCAGAGGACACAAACGGACTAAGGCTTCGCCGCCGGTGCTCAGGGGCTTAGGACGGAGCAGTGCGCCGGCGTCCATGGAGAATACCTTACCCGCATCGATGTTCGGTGAAGCGTTCGTCTGGAACTCCGGGGCTTAGAGCGGCGCTGTACGCCGGCGTCAATGACCCCGTCAGGCGATGTGGCGAGACAGGGTCCTCCCAGATCCGGTTACAACCTTCTTCCTTATGGATTTCTTTTTTCAAAGAAATCCAAATTTGTGTAGCCTCATAGTGAAAATGGGAGGATTCGATTCCCCAAAGAGGGATGAATCTCCTGGCTGGAAAAAAAATGACAGAATCGAAGCCATTTTTTTCAAAAAACAAAATTGTGAGCACGCTTGATGTGTCCGACACTCTCAACGAGAGCACCAATGTTGGGTTAAGGAACCCGAGGGCCTAGGTAACTAGGCGAAAGAGTATCGAACTAGATCGAAGAGTGCACAAATATGGGGTCAAGTAGATCGAGAGTAATATCGTGCTAGTTAGAATATGATTCAGAATGTGAGTCTTTTTGATGGAATGAGCTCCATCCCCCCATCCCTCTTCCAAGAAGAGGGGTATATATAATGGGAGAGATATGGCTAGGGTTTACATACAAAGACCAATGGGCCGGCCCAACAGGCTAGGTCGCCCTAAATAAGTAATTGATAAACGACTAACGGGCCGATCGCACAAACTGGACCACCCCGATTAATATTATACAAAGACCGGATACCCCTCTCCAGGGTATGCATCAAATACACTAATAAAGTCGTTTACAATTAATAATCATTGAAATATATGGATCTTATGTTACAAAGTTGATAACTTCTAGATATTTCATTTTAATTATGTTAGATGATGTACTAATTATGTTCGAAAACATGCTAAAATAATATTCTACTCCCCCACCCTAGAGTGTTTAATTTGTTCCAGTTTGACATTTGACTTATAATTAAATAAAAATTATATGATATACGGAGTATTAATTAAATAAAAAAATATTTTGAAAATATCATACAAGATGAATCTAATAAAAATATTTGTATCAATATCTACTTAATATGAATTTAATTTAGTTTATGAGGAAAGTTTATTAATTTTGACTGTAAAAAAATGGAAACTAGACAAAAACTCTATGGGGAGGTAGTATTTGTGAATATCCCAAAAAATTTACTTTCTATCTTTCTCTTTTTTACAAAAGTATATATAGTTTAAAATATTTTATTCTACTCTAAAAAATCTAACCACTTACTTTTAAATTAATATTCATATCATTTGTTACTTTTTTAATCTTCGTGAAGAGAAAATAAGTAATTTTTATAGGACGAAGATAACAATACGTATTATTGAAACTATTAATCCCTCCAAAAAATATCATCACTTTTTTTTGTTGATTATCTGAAAAAAATAAAACAGGTGTGTCACCATTTATTTTATGTATTTTTCAAAAGAAAATAATAATTTAGGGATGAAGGTAGTATTTTTTGGAAAGACGAAGGTAGTATTATGATTTTAATAATAATAATAATAATAATAATAATAATAATAATAATAATAATAGTAGTAGTAGTAGTAGTAATAATAGTAGTAATAATAATAATAACAACAACAACAACAACAACAACAATAATAATAATAATAAGCATCATTTATCCATGTGTAACATTGTTATTGTGCTAATAAAATTATTATTTTTATTTAATATTATAATAGTAATTATAATTGAATTATATGTGACCTTAAATAATATAATTATTATATACTAATTATAGACAAAACAATAAAATTACTTTTCAACATTTTTCTAAATAGATCTGGTTTGATCTGAATAGAAAGGATATGATCTGATAGGATTTGAAGATGTGATCTAATTACATCTTATTTGAGTACATCTGATATATAATGATATGATCTTATTTTAATAAAAATAAATAATAAATGAAAAAATAAGATGAACGTAACGCAGCTTAATATAATGAAAAAAATAGGGTGATAAACTTTTTTTTGAAAGCATTAAATGGAATAATAACTCCTAGGGGTGGGCACGGATCGGGACGGTCCGGATTTTAGGTTGTCCCACGTCTTGTCCCGTTATATATAAACGGTTCGGAACGGTTCGGATTACAATCTTATCCCAGTTTGTCCCATAAAATTCGGGATCGGAATAAAATGGGACGGATTCGGGTCGTCCTACTTTGTCCTAATCGCAAATATAAGAAGGGGAAGAGGGTAAAATTTCATTCAAAAAAAAAGAAACATCTAGTCATCCAACAAAAAATAATGAGTTGAACGGGCCTAAATAAATTTCAATCTCATGAAGTTAATTTAAACCTAATTAATTTAAAAATGAGTATATTTGAATTTTGGACTAGAATTAGTATTATATATTAGTAGAGTAGATGAAACGGGACAAACGGGACGGATCGGTATAAATTTAAGCTGTCCCGCTCATGTCCCATTTGATAGTGGGACGGAACGGGTTTGGGACAAAAAAATGTGTCCCAATATATCGGTACAATTACAAAACGGATCTGGGATTTTTCAGAACGGTCCAAGAGAAACGGATTTCACGCCCACCCCTAATAACTCCTACTAGTAATAAGTAGTCCGTAATATGGAATGTGATAAGAGAAGATAAGAACTAACAAGAAAAAATTAGACAGTGCCATCTCATATTCCCTCCGTCTCTGAATATTTGTCATACTTGTACTCCCGAAATAAAATATCAAATTTTTTTAATTTATTTTATTTACATATTGGTATAGAAATAAAAAATAAAATTTACATCTCCAAAAACTATATGAAAAATCATTCGAAATAAGAAGTGCCAAGAATATTTTCAATTTCTGAAAAAGCAATTGCAAATATCCTGGAAGGAGTATCTGGCGAGGGAGTACTCCGTCATCAGTCTCTTTTGGTCATCGCACCGGCGTAAACAGATGCGTTCATTCAGATCTGTTGGAGTCTAAAACCTGAAATCGATCTATAGATCTGAATCAGACCACACCCTATCAAACCCTAATGTCGTGTTTAGCCCTTTCACTGCAACCCACCAACGGACCTGACGTTCTTCTTCAGACACGAGAATGGTTTCCTCCATCTCGGGCCCTTATGGCTCTCTCCGCCTTTCGGCAGACCCGTCTGGCCTTCTCCAAACAAGCTCAATCGGCTGCCGTCCTGTCCTCATCGGACCCCACACCCTCGGATGCCCTAGGAGATGATCCTCTAGCTGCTTCTTCAGGTCAGGTTATTGTTGGCATGGAGTCCCGATATCGTGTTGTTTACCGACTTGTTAATTCAATTTATGTGCTTGCGATCACCACTGCTGATGAAAATGTTAAAGATCGAATTGTGAATAATGTGTTTGAGTGCATTACCATTGTGAATCAAGCAGTTTCTGTCGTAGTTACAGCTTGTAGGGGTGTGGATGTGACCCCTGAAAAGCTTAGTAAGAAATATGCTGAAATCTACATGGCATTGGATATAGTTCTGAGAGGGGTTAGTAGCATCAGACTTGCAGCAATGCTGGCCTCGATGCATGGCGAGAGCATTGCCAAAATGGTGCATTCTGCTGCCAATACAGAGAATAAGATCCGGGGGGCTGAGACTTGGGGGAGTTTGGAAGCTCAGTCTGTGGAACATAGAACCGGTGTAGAATCATTTTTCAAAACATCATTTGAGTTGCCTCCAGAGACGCTGCAGGCTGGTGATGAAGTTGCAGCCACATTGGTGATCACAGGTACGGAGAAGGAGGAGAAGGACAAGGTGGAAGAGAGTGAGGAGAAGGATCCATTTGCGGCTAGTGACAGGATAAACAAGCCGGAGTCATTGGTGGCAGAGTTTAAGAGGGATAAGGATAAGGGAAACTCTGATATAAGTAAAGCTTTAGCTGGGCTCGAGGTAAGTACATTGCCACCTGCTGCAGCCAGTCAGTCTACACACATTGGTGTCGAAGGGTTTGAAGGGGATTATGGTGGGATAGAATTTAGTACTGACGGATCAACACTTCGGGAGGATTTTGAAGGGATCAATGTTTCATGGGGTGGAGGATTGGATGCTTCAGAGTATCTAGGAACCAAAAAAGTTAAGAAAGATGAAGGGCTTGGTGGCCTCGAGTTCTTGGAAACTAGTGAGCCACCTAAAACTGAAGCTGCAGAGGAGAGTGCTGCTGCCAAGAATCTTGAGGATGTTTTGGTGAATAAGATGAAGGGACCAGAGCTATACATTTCAGAAATCATCAGTGCCGAATTCAGGGAGTCCTTGCTTTCTAGAGTTGGAATGATGGGCACAATCTACTTGATGACGATGCCTCCAAATCCTAATGGTGACAAGGAAACTGAGTTCTCTTTCAAGGTTGATGGGACTTCTGGAATTAAGAGGCTTGTTATGCAAAATTCTCTTGTCAGCTGTCTTGGGAATGGGATTTTTCACTTGAAGACTGCCCCTTCAAAGGAACCTATTCCAATTATAAAGTACAGCTTACTACCACGCTTAACTCCTTTGCCATTGCGGGTTCGGCTTGTTCAGAGCCTCAGTGGCACATTATTCTCCGTCATGCTGCAATATGCACCTTTTCCTGATATGCCCGCTCCTTTAACTAATGTCACTTTTGTTCTGAAACTTCCTGTGGATCCGTCCTTGGTAAAGGTTTCCCCAAAAGCTGTACTGAACAGGTCCGAGAAAGAACTAAAATGGCTTATAGAAGAGATCCCACCAAAGGGTAAACCTGGTAGGTTAAGGGCTAGGTTTCCTGTGGATGCAAGTGATGAAAGTAGTATTGATGAACTTGAGGTTGTAGGGTATGTAAAGTTTTCTGCTCAAGGAACTAGATCGTTGTCTGGCATCTCCTTGCTGCCTGCTATTGAGGGTAATAGAGACTTTTACGAGGGTTATCACAAATATGCAGCTGGGACTTACATTTGCAACTAAACGTTCATTTTGTTCTTCTATTTCATGTTGTATTTCCTTTTTATGTCCTCACAAGACAATCAAAATGGCAATGAGGTTTTGTATTGAAATTAAATGTAACTATGTGCATGGCGGTGTGGCATGCCATAACGACAAATACTTCTAAGTTTGCGTGTTTATAATGTCTGGTTTTTGGTTATGCAACGGTGAATGAACTTTGCAGAACCTTTCAGGTTTTGATCATTCCCTCCCCATACCTCTTTTTTTCTTTTCTTGCAAAAAAGTAAGTAGGTGTAGTCAATTCATTAGATGATGGACTCCATCATTCTTATCCAATGCTCTTTATGAATATGTAAGCTGATTGTGGTGGAATTGAGACCATGTAAAAAAGAAGAAGAAAGGCTGGATGCAATCTTCCTTTTTCAAGCTCGTGTTGTTTTCTTTCTAACTTATACAATATGTTTGGTTGAAGGAATTTAGAAGAAAAAGAAAAGAAAATGATTTCTCTCCTTTTTCTCACCAAAATGGAAGAAATTTGGTTTTCCCTCTTCTTATACAATTTGCCTTCTTTTTTTTTCTTTTCCTTCCTCTCTTCTTTTCTTTTCCTCTCCAACCAAACAAGAAAATTTATATTCCATCTCATTTTCTTTTCTTTTCTTTTTCAAAACCAAACATAGTGTTATAGTTTGTAGTTAGGGCGAGAAAAGCATTGATAGCTAGTATAGAAGCAAGCACTTGTTTGGCCTAATTAAATAAGAAGCAAAAGCTCTTAATTAGAAAAACACAAAAAAAAAATTGTGTTATGTGGTCAAACTAAGTGTGTGTGTAATGAAATCATTTATAACATCACTGATGGAGAATAAACTCCCCCACAGTGGGCCTTCAGAATAGATCCAGGGTAAGAGGCCCAGAAGCAAGTCCGGGTCTTAGCCTAGAAGAAGTTTCGAGATTGTCTTGCATTGAGGGACGAGCAGAAGTTTTAATCAAAATGCTCTATAAACGTTTTGTTTTTATTGGACTACCTGGTAAAGGCATATTGATGGGATGTCCAAGCGTGTAAATAAGACGCGCTTCTTAAAAAACGAAAAAGAAAGTCATTTAACGGAGCGTACACGCCGTTTCAAGTTTTAATTAAAAAAAATCAAGAATGAGTGAGACGACGTGAGAAGAGTTTACACAAAACCCTCCCAAAACATCTCTTCCTCCATCGTGCGACCTTTGAGTTTTCGATATCTCTCCCACCTTTTCGACAGTTTACATATTTTCTTATGCAAGACCAAACCGAATGGCACTGCCAACTTACCTTCCGTTTTGTCTTTGGTTTTGGGTGAAAACCAAACCGCCAAAACTGAACTCACCCCTAGTACATAGCTCAAAAAACTAGCAGAAGGATATCCATGCTAGAGTAACCCCGAAATGGTAGTTCCAGCTATGACCTCACACTTCCCGCATAGTGCAGATCATCCAAATAAGAATCATGCTAGGGTAATCCCGAAATGGTAACTCTAGCTATGACCTCACAGTTCCCGCAGAATGCAGACCAGACAAATTTTTATTGTCTACTCCCTCCGTCCCTTAGTATTTGTCCACTTTTAACTTTTTTCAATAAAAATTAAAAAAACTTTGATCTCAAATTAAACAAAAATGATATAAGATATTGACACAAAAAGTTTCATTAGTTTTATTATATAAACTATTTTCAAAATATTATTTTATCTAATCAATATACAATATATATTTTACTTAATTATAAGTCAAATATTTAAAATGATTGATTGAAAAAAGTTAAAATTAGACAAAATACTCAGAGACAGAGGAAGTATGCTACAAATACAATAACACTCTTTATAATCTGTGCTAAGCTTGAGGTCGGGTTATCTTTTGGAAGAACTCTCTAAATAGGAGTAAAAAACTATGAATATACCGAAATAGGAGTCATATTCTTTTTAAGAAGAAAATAGGAGTTTACACTATCATTGCTACATTGCCACATTCACTACATTGTCACATTATAACTGTCACACTATCACCACCAAATAATCATCCGTCGTCGCCGCCCACCAGAGTGCAGCTGTAGATCACCGAAGGTTGACTAATCACATATTACACACTGTCACATTCACTGAAATATTACACTCGCATCATTTTTCCATCACAGTGTCAATGGTAATCTAACACGACACTGTCATTATATTTCTATTTTGGTCCTAAAAAACATAAAAATCATATTTTGAATATTTTTTAACGTTTTTAATCCTATTCAGGGAAATTTGTTATACTTTTTGGAATTACCTCGCGCTATTACTGAGTATAACGCAAAGAGGAATGCTAGGGGTACACCATTTGGTATACCCCATTTGTCCCCCACCCATTTCTCCACCATATAATTTTATTTTATTTTTATTTATTTTATTTTTTTACCTTTTTTGTGGTGATGAGGGGGGTGGGGGACAAATGGGGTACCCCTAACATTTTTCTAACTCAAATAAAGAGATATGGTAGGAAATCGCATAAACAAAAAGACGGAGGGCATGTAACAAAAAACTCGAATGCCACTTTTTGAAATAATCCTACCGTTGGAAGACATGGTAACCGTTAACGCTTCATCACATATTGTCACTACATAGTTTCAACACAGTCCACAAGTCAACGGAAACCTCTTCTTCCTCCTCCTCCTCCTCCTCCTCACTCACACAGATGGGCTGCGTCTCCTCCAAGATCGCAAGGAAGAAGGAATTCAAACGAGAATCCCAATTCGGAAACCCCAACGTTTCCAACCACCACGTGGTCTCCCTCACTTCCAGCACCTACGGCCTCCTCCGACTCGACCACGAAGACTGCGTCAAGAAACCGCCGCCGCCGGAAGAAGATCAAGCGGCGGCCGAGGTGATCAATGCTTGGGAGCTCATGGAAGGCCTCGACGAATCAGCAGAGCCCCCCTCCGTTGTTGTTCAGTCCCGGAAAAGCCCGAAGTCCCGAGTCCTTGTCGATTACAGGAAAAGAAGCCCTTTGAAGCTCTTCAATCAAATTGGGTCTCCCAAGACGTTTAATAAGCGGTTCGGAGGAGGAAAAGAGAACAGCCCCACCCCCGGACGAGCCAATTCTGGGAAAACAGAGTCCAGCCCGAAAACTGTGGTTCCTAAATTGTACAGATGGAGCGAGAGAGTTTCAGGTAAGGGCAGTCCGGATGCTGCCCGAGCCCCGTCTCGGGCAGCAGCCAGGAGTTTGTTCGATCCAGAAATGCCCGCAGTTTCAAGAAAATCTTCTGACGAAGTCATCAGGAAGTTTCAGAGAATCTGCCCGCCGGGCGGTGAGAATGCGGTGGTTATTTACACCACCACACTGAGGGGCATACGGAAGACGTTCGAGGACTGCAACGCTGCCCGATCCGTCCTCCGGTCACACGAGGTTCGGGTGTACGAGCGAGACGTGTCGATGCATTCTGGGTTCAAGGAGGAGGTGAGAGCACTGATGGGCACAAATGAGGTGAGGGTGCCCTTAGTTTTTGTGAAGGGGATGCTGATTGGTGGGGCGGATGAGATTTCCAAGCTGGAGGAGGAGGGCACATTGGGGAATTTGCTGGAAGGGATCCCGAGGGCGGTCGGGGGCGGCTGCCGCGGCTGCGGCGGTGTCCGGTTTTTGCTGTGCAGGGGATGCAGTGGGAGCTGTAAGGTGTTGGGGGAGGATGGGAAGAGCAGTGTCAAGTGTGGAGAGTGCAATGAGAATGGGCTGATCCTATGTCCCATTTGTTGTTAATTATGAATGCTAATCACTTTTTTTTAGGTTGACCCGTTTAATTATGGTTCTTTGTTACAGATATTGGAGGGAAGAAGAATTGTTGATTTTGTATTTGGGCTATATATAAATTCATTCACACGTTTAGATAATGTTTCTCTCTTAGAAAAAATTGTTTTAGACTTCTAGGGGCTTTTGTCCTTTTTATCTTCTCGCCCGTCCAACAAATTTTTATCACCATAATTTAAGACTAAGAGCACCGGAAATATAGTGAAATTATGGGGCTTCAAATTATTTTCTTCTCTCCCGTATTAGTTTTAACTTACTTCACACCTCATTGAAAATAAGTTTTAACTTATTTCACAGTTTCAACAAGGAAAAAGTAGGCGTGGAGAGCTTTTTGCGAGGAAACTTGCAAGTATAGTTTGGGGAGAGGTGGGCGTCGACCCAACCTTATAAGTATTCGGACAATCGGACTATAACAGTTCCGATGAACAGTCTCTCACTTTTGACAGTTATACGATTTCAGAAGATGATCCAGACTTGGGTCAATCACGTTTATCAGAAGTGGACAATAGAGTGGTTGTACCAGCCAAAATATTAGAACAATAAAAAATAATTTTATTATTGTGACTGCACCTAGAAAAATAAAACAATCTAAGTTGCCTACGTACCCCGATGAAGGAGATCAAGCCACACGTAGTTCAAAACAAGGTTGGTTAAATTCCCAAGCGACGTTGTAGGCCTTCAAGAAGGATAATGAGGGTTTTTAGGGCTGTCAACGGATAGCCGAAAATCCGATTACCGTCCGCATCCGTATCCGTTTAAAGAGGAAATATCCGCATCCATTTTAAACGAATATTATCCGTATCCAATTAAGGATATCCGATTACTAAACAGATACGGATTTGGTAATTGTATATCCGATCCGTTAAAATCCGATCCGAATATGCATCCGTTTAAATAACCGTTTATCCGAATATCCGATCCGTTATATATAGTTTCTCCTAATTTTTTATGTTTATATTTTGTTTCTCTATTGATATTTCAAAGTATAAAATATTTTTATACACAAAATAAATGTGTAGACACATAAAAACATGTGCAACATATAAAAATATGTGTATATGTGTGTTGTGTATATATCTTTTTATCATATGAAGTTATAAAAGAATATCATAAATTATGAAAACAAAGAAAATAATTATCCCATAACAAATTATAGTTGATTTAATAATAGTTTGACTCTAATCTATTTTAAAATTTAAGTATATTGTTTAATTTGATTTTAAAAATTGGAAACGGATACGGATATATCCGATATCCAACCGATATCCGACGGATGCGGATACGGTTTTGATTTTCAATATCCGTCAAAATTTATATCCGAATTCGATATCCAAAAAAATAAACGGATACGGATTTGGTAATGACACATCTGATCCTATTAATATCTGTTTACACCCCTACAAGGTTTCCTATAAAATGTAGGATGATATAGCTCACTCGGTCTAAATGGCATTCATCATGGCACTGGAAATACGTATGAAGCCCCAAGGCTTCAAACTTTCTCTCTCTGCCACGTCAGCTTTAACTTACATCACAGATTCACAGGAAATGGGTTTGAAGCCCCTGGGCTTCAAACCTTCATTTTTTTACATTTTTAAATAAACATCTTCTAAAACTTAATTAATAAAATTTAATTATTTCATTATTTAATTATATTTAAACAAGAACAATTCAAAAAAATTACATTCATTAAATTTAGAAAAATAAAGTGACAATAATTTTAAAAAATACATTAATAAAATAACTAAGGTAAATTATATTTAGCCTTGATCTCTTTTTGTCTTCTCTCGAAGATCATACGTTTGAAGCGTGATATTGTATCAAGGTCTTTTTCCATTATTTCGATCTCTTCCTTCTCTTGCTTTCTTCTCGCCCTCTCTTCTTCTCGAATATTGAACATCCGAAGTTGTTCAACCATTGCCCGACCGATATCGTCGTGAGAAGAAATGGAAAGAGAGCCGGACCTCCAAACCCCGAGGCAATGGATTTTCTCTTCTTTCTTTCGATCGGCCGTAGAATGGGGTCCTCGTCATTAGAATCGTCAACGTTGAAGGGAAGTCTTTGTTCGGATGAACCAATAGTGTCATCGACCTCAACCTCGACGGAGGATCTTTTCTTCGAGGATCCGGCATTGGGATTGTTGAGTTGTTTCCATGGGCACCTTGCCTTGGTGCCTGTCATCTTGATATCGGGTCGTGGCAAGCCAGAGAACATCGGCGTCGTTCGTCCTGCTCCTCTGGGACTGAGTGCATTCCTCGTAAACTCCGATAAACTTTCGGACTTTACGGTTGATGTGGCCCCATTTGGAAGTGACTTGGTCCCGGGTACGGTACGAGGCGTCCTTGTTCATCGCCGTAAAGAACTTCTCCTCGATACGATCCCACATTGCATCCTTCGTTTGCTCCGAACCTTTAAAAAGTATAACACTAATTTTTTTTACACGAAAATATAAATAAGAACATGAATATATTAGAAAACATATAATTTTTACCAACGATAAGATGCTCGGAGACGTCAACCCAAGTCGACGCCAACAAGCACTCTTCCACCGGCATCCGCTTTTGGATTGACCGTGCCGCCTCAGTCATCGCTTAAGTGCCTTTCGCTTTGTGGCTTTTCCAGCGTGCACTTTTTTTGGTGCCGGATGGTTCCGGTTGAGTCTCTGGAACCGACTCCCGCTCATAGACGTACCCTGATGGTTGCGTCTCGAACAATGTTGGATTATTCCCGTATTGTTGGAAGATCCACATGGCGTGCCCGTTAGGCTCGAGATCGTCGGGGGAAAAGTCGGAGCCGGAGGGATTCATGTTAAAAAAAGACTTGAAGAATTGGAAAATTGAGAATTGAAGAAGTGAAGAAGATTGATGGGAATTGGAGATTGAAAGATGTGAAAAAGATTGAAGGATTGAGTTAGAAATTTATAAAAAAAATTAATTTTTTTAAAACTGTTACGGCTAATTTAGCCGTTGGGGGAGGGGGGAAGTGCGTCAAATTTCTGACGCCATGTGGTGACGCTGGAGTAACGCCCTAAGGGGGCGGTGTTTAACGCCTAGGCGGCGTTATACGTCGCATGGCGCCCCCTGGCATTACGTGTATTTCCTTTGCTCTTAAAAGGAATGTATTTCCAATAACAACTATGTTGGATTATCTATGCTTTTTTAAATTTGTGTGAATTTTATTTCTAAATAGATTTGTTGTGATTTTAAGCGCGTAAGATATCGAAAAATATTGAGAACACCAAAAATGAGAGAACAAACACAAGAAGAATATATGAGAGAAAAAATTATATTTCCACTATCTCGGGACAATATACAAAAAACTCTCCCCTCTTTACAAGACTAAATTTCAGATACTCATAAACAGATCTTTCCACATCCTATGCCTGGATGTATTTTTCCGGGTAACTAAAACCAGTTACTCCCAACACTTACCACACTCACCAAGACCCCTTGGATTTTCCCGGTGGTATTCTTGTGTAAAATTCCTCCGATTTTCGCTCTCTACCTTGGTGGTGTGTAAAACCCACACACACACTCTCTCTAAGACAACCATGGCTTTTATAGCCAAAATAAACCGTGAAAACAATGCCATTAGCCAACAACCCATCATAAAAGTCCAAAAAAAGGGAAAATCAAATTGATTTCCTTCCATCAAAAGATCTACGCATGCATAGGGCTGTTCACATTTAGGTCCGGACCGAAAAAACCGACCGAACCGGACCGTTAGGTCCAGACCGAACCCGGACCGAATGGATTTCGGGTCGGTCTTCGGTCCAGAAAATTTAGGCATTCGGGTTTCGGTCCGGTCCGGTCCAAACCCGAAATGATTTAGGTCCGGACCGATTAGACCGGTTGGACCTAATGACCCTACTGGACCTAAAAGACCTAAATACTAAAACTCTACTTTTTAAGTTCCGTATTACATTTTAATGCTCTATTTTAATAGATATTTTAATTTATTTAATTAAAAAGTTTTTTTATTAAGTACTTTTTTAAAAAATCTAAAAAAAACATTTCATATTTGTTTTTATGTTTCTACATTGAAATAGTTCATATTGTGTATTCATTTTAAGGTTGCATATTTTTTTTATTCATTTTCTATTTGAATGGTACAAAGTAAAAAGTCTAAAATATATTTAATTGATCAAAATAATTAAAAAAATATGTATTTTTTTCAGTCCAATCGGTCCGGACCGGTTCGGTCCTAAATATTTCGGTCCGGTCCGGTCCAAACCCGAGTAGATTTAGGTCCGGTCTTCGGTCCTTGAATTTACTCATTTCGGTCTTCGGTCCGGTCCGGGTCGGTCCGGTCTTAGACCGATGAACAGCCCTACACATGCATGCATCTTAAGATTATCATCACATGTCATGCATCTTCCTTTAATTCCTTTCTTTGCTACGGGGTATTTTTTTGCTTCTTTTTTTATTTTTCTTTTCTTTCTTTTTGAATATTTAATCAATATTTTCCAACAAACTCCACCTTGATTAAATAATCAAAAAACTTTGTAACTCCACTTTACTTCTCCAGTGAAATCACCGCTACTCTGAAAGAAAAAAAAATCCTTGGCCCCAACTCGGTCTGCTCCACTGAGATCATCGCTGCCAACCTCTCAAAAAAAAAATCATCGTAGCTCCACCTTGGTAAAACCAACAAGATCACTACCACCTTGAAAATTTTTTCATGACCCTATCTTGCTCAATACCACAAGCTCTCCGCCACCATGTATTGACTCATGGTCGTGGCCTCACCTTGCTCAATACGACAAAGTCCTCACCATTTTTAGTTATCGTTGTACCCGCGGCTCCATCTCAACCAACCCGTCAAGATCACCGCCACTACCTTAGCTCCTTAGAGTTTTAACCCTCCACCCGAGCTAAAAAAATGGCAACTCACCTTTGTTAACACTCTCTGAGACCACTCATCTAGCAATTAGCTTCTTTCGATCTGCCCATCTTGCACCGCCGCAGCAACACCTGCGGGACACGCCGCCCGACCTCTTCTTGCCGAGAAGACTTTCGACACAAGACATAAGCCGTAATTTTTCACTCCGCTAGACCACCGGTCTCCTCAAGTCCTGCTGTTGCACCATGCTTCACAAAGCCAGCATGCCGCTTCGTACCCGGTCCCCATGCCCTCCACTTTGTTACTGAAGTCCCATCGTCGCCTTCTTGCCAAAACCGACCAGTCCCTGAGTTCTCAAAATTTCTCCTTTTATCGCTTACAAATTCCTCCTGCCTAGCGCAACCAAGCTCTGATACCAATTGTTGGAATTTTAAACGCGTAAGATACCGAAAAATATTGAGAACACCAAAAATAAGAGAACAAACACAAGTAGAATATATGAGAGGAAAAATTATATTTCCACTATCTCGGGACTATATACAAAAAATTCTCCTCTGTTTACAAGACTAAATTTCAGATACTCATAAAGAGATCTTTCAACATCCTATGCCTGGATGTTGTTGGAACACACTTTGTACGTTAAACTAAAGTCGTGTTCATTTCTGACAGGTTTTGATAATTACCAAACCGCCGTGGATATGAAGAGTTTCGTTGAATAACTCAAGGCGTGAAGAATGGCTTGGAACAAGACCTAAAAGACTCAAGGACAAGATCAAGAATTGAAGACTTAGTCGAGTCGGTCTTTTGTGATCAAAACCGACAATTTATTCAAGTCTCGGTTCTCAAAAAGTCAAAACAATTTTTACAAACCATAAAACATTTTTTTGTGCATCAAAACAAACATTTTTGATGACTTCTTTTATTGTTAAAAATCCCTGGTCCTTGCTCAGAACCAAAACCACCTAAGTCGGCGTTCGGCTTTCG